CGCCAACAACATTCTTGTTCTTCCTCCTTCTTCTAGTCTTATACACTGGAATATCATTGATTTTTAAACAGTTGATGAATAAAAATAACTCTTTTTTCTTAGCTCTTGTCTCTCGCAGTGTACAAGACCCCATAGTCGGCCGTATGAATGAACGAACCCCCAGGCACTACAGCCGGCCAGCGGGGCCGCCACACTGATAGGGCTGCCTGCATGCATGAATTTCGGTTTATTTCTCCAAATTTATTGTTGTTTAAAACGATTTTCCCCTTTTTTCAGATCAAAAACGCAGAAGGCAGAAGCGGCCCAGCCAAGAGCGCTCAGCTGCTTGGCCCCGCCCGCTTGCGCCGCCGCTCTGGGGTGTATGGGCAGCAGCAGAAAAAAAGACAATTTCTCTTTATTTCATTCTATGCACATCAACACAAAACTCCTGCAGCAGCCACCCCCTTCATACACTGCAGGGAGAGGGCCCCCAGTCAAGAGAGAGGGCCCCCCCAGGGCCCCCAGCAAACAGTTGAGGCCCTGGGTGGAGCAGCACCTCCCCCTAGCCTCACCAGCGAAAACTGCTAAGACCTAGGGGGCCCCCAGTGCCCATATCTATGAAGCAAAGGCCCCTGCTGCTTCAACCCCAGTAGAACCGGCGGGTCGGGGGGCCCCGGGCCCCAGGACCCAGCCGCTCCACCTCTCCTGTGTTGCTTTGTGGGCCCCTAGGGCTGATAACACCCAAATATGTCTTTGCCTTCAACTCCATTCCCCGATGCCACGCGCAACCCGGAGGGGCCCGCAGGCAGCACCCGCCCGCCGTACCCTACAGCCGGGGGGGCCCCAGGACACCCAGGGGCCCCCGGACATTCAGGGGCCCCCGGTCATTCAGGGCCGCCCGGACATCCAGGGCCCGCCGGACATATAGGGGCCCCAGGACATCCAGGGGCCCCAGGACACCCAGGGGCGCCAGGACACCCGGGGGCCCCAGGACACCCGGGGGCCCCAGGACACCCAGGGGCCCCAGGACACCCAGGGGCCCCCGGACACCCGGGGGCCCCAGGACATCCTGTGGCTCCCGGACACCCAGGGCCCCCCGGACATCCGGGGGCCCCAGCGCACCCAGGGGTTCCCGGACACCCAGGGGCCCCAGGACACCCAGGGGCCCCCGGACACCCAGGGCCCCCCGGACATCCGGGGGCCCCAGGACACCCAGGGGCCCCAGGACACCCAGGGGCGCCTAGCTGCGCTCCTGCGCCTCTCCAGGGCCCTGGGGCCCTCAGTGGGCCCCCCTCCGTGCCTGGGCATTTGCAGCCATTCGTAGACGCCGGTGAGCGGGTGCTGCTTCAGTGGGGTGTACCCACAGCAGGAGGCAGTGTTGGTGCTGCTGCTGCTGCACCCCCAACCGTCCCTTTGGCGGATCCTGTTTCCCAGCAGCCACAGCAGCAGCACCTC